CTCGGCTGCCTTCGGGCCGGAGCAGGGCACAGCTCCAACACGGTGAGCACCCCCGAAAGATTGAATCGGAGGAGCTGTGGAACAGGAAACTAAAGCAAGCCGGAGGGTGGTGATCACGAGCGAGCTTTGACCTTTACGAAATGACCGCGGTTCCTCTCTTCCTCGAGGAAAGCTTTTTCTGGTGGTGGAACCAAGCTGCAGAGTTGCAGTGTCGGTGAGTCTGCCAGGCTTCTCCATCCCGGAGCAGGGGAGCTGAGCCGGGACAGGGGGGCAGCCAAACAAGGTCAGAGGCTGAGGGAGAGCAGCCCCCATGTGCCCTGTCTGGGTCCTTCGGTGCCTGGAGCTGCCACGCCGGGAACTTGCTGCTGGAAGCGGATCCCGCCTCTCCATCCTCCCCCAGCAGTGGCCTGTGAATGAAAAGGGGTTTTTCTCGTGCTGTGCTCAGCACAGTATTTGACTGTTTCTGTCCCATTACCAAATGCTTTATGTATCCCCCTGCCAGCAGTGCCAAACACTGTAATTCCTGTTTTCTTCTCCTAATGAAATCTCATGCTTCGGTTTCCTGACCGTGCTCCCCAGCTCAGCCTTCCCAGGTAAGCTGCTCTCTCCACCCCTCCCCATTAATTTCTAGGACAGACTAATCCCGCTCCTTCTCCGACTCCACCGAATTACCCTCTCCACCTCATGAAATCTCAGCCCAGGGACTGTACCCTGACCTCTCCAGTTGTTGCTGTTCCTCTCTAACCCTTCTGATTGCTCCCCTCTCGCCTTTCCCGCCGCTGTTCCCAACCATCTGGTTTTGCCTGCAGCTCCCTTGCTCCGTCTGCTCTCCGGGGGCTGCGGACCTGCTGGGATGGTTTGGGGAAGCGTGGCTGTGAACACCATGCTGTGTTCTCTGCAGCATTTGGGGTGCTTTCAACGCCGCCTTAAAAACGGCTCCAGCCGGAGCGAGGCTTGGCAGGTCTGCAGTGATTTGAAAGCAATCACGCTCGGATCTGGAGGGAGGAAGTTTGGCTAAAATTGCCCCTGAGTTACCTATTTCTGAGGACTTCGGCAGTACAATAACCTCTTTGAGGGATTCCAGGGCTGGATCCATGAAAACTCTCTTTCAGTGAATGAGAACCTGATGACATTCTCATTTCTGGGCTGAAAATTTTGAACTGATGCATTATGCACCAGACTGAAAGAATCCTTCTTGAGGGAATAAAACTGCTCCTTTAGAAAGCGGAGTGAAGGATTCCTGTTCTAGGAAGAGGTGAGGTGAACACTTCCAAATTCAATTCTCCAAATAAAGGATCGCAGCCAAGTAGAAGACACGAATCACCAACTGCCTAATGGGGAGCGTGCAGAATACTTGCTCTTATTTCACCTCCTAAGGACTCCTGTCCCTTGTGCTGTCCATCAGCTACATCTAAGAGAGCAGGCAGGAATACAAACCCACTTTTCCATGGGCTTCTGTTGTAGAAGAGTGGGGTTTTTTATTCTCCAGAAGCGAAATCTTGATTTTTGTTTCATTTTTTGCAAGCTGCAAAGTAAAGGGATTCTACTGCTTCCTTTCCTCTTGCGATCTCTGCATTTTTACTGGTGGGGGTTAATGCATTTGTCTAGTCCCTTCCCTAAGGCAGCAGCCTGAAGAGTGGCACGATCAGATGTTTGTCCTTAGCAGAGCAGGAACAGGGTGCAGAAAGCCCGATTCCCATTCCTTTTCCAGTATTGGACCGTGCACCTTCCTTACGAGCGTGCGGCTCAGTGGGGTGCAAGGGCTCTTCTGACCCTCAGGGCACACTTTCTTCGCATTGAGTCGCCCGCAGGAGGCTGCAGCGGGTTAACATCATGCTGGATCAGTTATTGTCTGCTCTTCTGCAGAAGAACAAGAGCTTGGATGGACACTTGCAAAAATTCCGCGTCGCCACTGAAGCAGTTGGTTGTGACTCTCATTTCAGTGGTGCCAAGCTGAAGATCATTTGAAGTTCACTTGACTTGTGGGTTTTTTCCCTCATGCCCAGCAGACTGTGGCTGTTGCAATATGTGGAGAAACCACGGCTGGTAGAATCTCTGGCAAATCCCAGTAAGCAACTCACTTTCACAATTCCATACGAGCTGTCTGGCGTGCGCAGGGGGTTCCGTTCACGTGCTCCGTATATCTTGGTCTCCCTCCTTCATTCCAGGTCCTATCAAATCTTCGGTCTGTGAAGCAGGAAGAAGTGCAGCTAGACAAAAACCTGTCTTGAATCTAAAATTTCAGTAGCGGGACCTGCCTTTCATTTTACGCGTGACAAACGACCAGCCTGACCGCAGTCATTGCTGGTGCTGGGATGCTGCCTCGGAAAAGCACTGCAGCGTGTGTTCTTGGCTGCTACTGTCTAGCAGACTGTTTATGTCTCAAGTGACATGTTTATTCCTGTTTTGAAGAGGGAACTGGCAATAACGAGAGAGCAGGATGATGGGTACCATGTGTATCGAAGGACAGATCCGTCGGTTGGATTTCTGTCTCATCATATCTTACTGAGAGAGAAAAATAGCTTGAAGGCATGTTGGGTTGTTAAGGAGACGTTGGAAAAAAGGGAAGCATCGGCACAAGTTATCAACCAACCGCATGTCATTAATGTCCGAAGCGTTTTGGGTGGTTATCATAAGATGGCTGAGGAGAACTCTGAATCTCTTTAAAAAAACAACCAAACCACCTCTGAAACATTAAAGAAAAATCGAGATTATTCAAGTGATGGAGTCGTATTTTCTTAAATGAACCCATGATTTCTCCCTGTAGGCTGAGTCCTCCGTACCTGCCTGTCTGCCTAGATGAATCCATAGTAATCCCACATGCGAATTTGGCCTTGTGTGCTTAAAAGAAAAGTGAACAAGCCGTTTCCCATGCTTGTTTTTCATCTGTTATTAACTTCATTTCCAAAACAGTGGATTCCAAACTCCAGATCCAATTTGCTCTGACTCAGACTTTGCATAGCTCTGCTTACGGCAGCCGAAACGCACGGCGGTGTTCGGAGGGTGTTTCAGACTGTATCGAGGACGAGCCGCCGTGCCCAGGTTGTCATTTGAAAGTCGAGAATTGTTTTAGGTGTTCGCTCAAAACTCATTTCTCAGCTTAAAGACCAAAATCATTACCAGCTTCAAGCCTTAAAGAAGACAAGAAAAGCAGGGAGGAGTATTTAAACTTTATTAATGATGATGGTATTGATGGTGTTACACCATCACCTGTTGGTCTGCCTTTGTAGGCTGAGTGCCCTAGAATGGCTTTTACGGTCTAAGCATCAAGTCAAGACGTTAAACATCCTTAAAATCCATCAGGATTTGTTACCTGGAATAATTCATGATGTAGAGTGGCCTCACGGCGACTTGGAGTTCAAGTGGTCTGTAGTAAATTTTAACTAGGATCAATTTTCACATTACGTTGCATGTCTTTGCATTCAGAGTGGCAAAGATCCTCTCTGTGTGAAGAGGCGAGGGGGATTACAAGGTCTGATTTCATGCATTTTTGGAAGGGTTTCTTAATCAATGGGACTCACAGATGTCTATGAGAAGTGTCCAAGCAGCAACCGCTCGCTGTGGTTTTGTTCTTTGGGATGGCTTCAGTAGTAGCTGGGCCATGTTCTTTAATTGCACTGACAGTGAGGATCGTCTTACTTTTGGCTCTTTCTCTTTTTTTTTTTTTTTAATTTAAACCACGATATAAGGAAGATGTTTGCTCAAAACTAAGTTTTACCAAGTTGTTTCCTTTTCCCAAACCTCTCACACAAATCTCTGGTCCCAGTATTGTTATTTTCTACACTTACTATTCAAGTGGCTTTTATTCAGCTCTCCTTGTTAGTGATTTTTGGTTTTTTTTTTAAGACACCATCCCTCTGAAAAGCGATGAATTAAAATGGCTTATTGGAAAAATCAGTTTGGATGTTTTCCCCTGCTCTTAAACAAAATTTAATAGGAAGCCTCTGGATAATATTTCCTCTTTGGCAATCCTGCTAATCATCTCTGGCGGATAATTCTTTCAAAAAGATTGTTTTGCGTAGAGAAACCATGGCAGAGTGGTCGCCTCTGAAGAGAAGTGGAACAATAGGAAGTCAGCTATTTATTTTTTAAAATAGCTTTCTCACCCCTCCCCAGTCTTCATTACGGCTGGAGGTCTAAGCAGTGTGCTTCTGATGGAGAGGGGTCTCTGCCCTCAAACTTCTGGTGTCGGGATGGGATTTCGTGGTTGCTCACGCCCACCTAAGATCTTGCGCGTGGCTGGTGGCGGGGCTGGCCCAGACCCTTTTTCCTGTCGCTTCCCCAGAAGATGAGAAGGGACCGAGCAGTATGAGCTTGACTGGGGGAAGGATCAGGGAGATGTGAAGCCTTTCCCAAGACGTGTCGCACAGTGGCGGAGGTCTTCAGTCCCCTCCACAAGACCGTGCTCTCTCCGTCAGCAGACACTGCTCATCGTGAGTGAGCATGAGTGCCCCAGGAAAGACAGGCCTCAAGGCAAGGTCAGTGCTTGCCTGGCCCAAGCTGTCACGGGAGGCGTTTCCATTAATAGCTGCTGTGCACACCACCTCCGAATTACTCTTGTTGCACGTCCGGCTGCTTCGTAAGATACCTGCAACCTCTCGTTTGGGGTAGGATGAATGACCTGGCAAATGAACACAGAATGAGGAAATGGGTTGAGGTTGTGGTTCATTGTAGTTTGGTAAAAATAAAGTAAGTTGTGTACGTAGGAGTGGAAGGGAACAGCTGGTGGAAAGCAGTTTAGGTCTGTGTTTGTTTGCAGGACCCGGTTTATATTGGAGTGTTTAGCAGCCCCCCTTGCATCGGGGTAGGTTGGAAGGGCAGTCCCTCAGCCGGTACATGTGGGCATCGTACTGCCGAGTGTGGTCAGGAAAGGCTGCGAACCCCTTACTGAGCTCTGGTTTATGTTGAGTTGTAACTCCAGAGTCAGTTGGGCTTGGTTTGCTCAAACACTATGAAACCATGACTGCTTGGATCAGCCCTTGGTTAGGAACGGAGTGTGCACTTCAGGGCTTCTTTTTCCTTCCCTATTCCCTCCGTGGATGTGAATAAGCATTTAACCTCATACTTCCCTTGCCTCCTCTGCTGATGACTATTTTTCTGCCCCCCAGTAACAGTTCTGTTGTGCTTTGGTGGTGTGAATGAACCACCCCTTTGTTCATAACTCAAGTACCTGTTTTGGTAGGAACTGTAGCTTGCTGGGCCACACAAAGCACCAGAAAGGGTTGCTTTGGCCATGCAAAGCCAGCCAGCCTTGAAGGCAACCAAAGTTGGCCAAGGCAACTGGAGAAGTTGGCTAAGGCTACCGAACAAGATGGCCAGTGAATCTGGGGAGGCTTTTCTGCATGCCCAGAGGCTCGTGGAACATCTCAGGCCAGTCTTAGGCACAGGGAGGGGTAGAGCCACCTCTCCGTGGTTGGGGGCTGGGAGGTTTTGCAGACTTCTGTCTGCAGTGGGAGCAAGATGGGAGGATCATCAGACCATAGACCCGAGCGCTCTCTGTGCTGTTACCGCATCAGAAGGAAGGGCAGGGTCAGAACAAAGCACTGGCTAAACAAACAAGACAGCAGAGAGCTGGCCCAGGAAAATGAGAATGAGAAGAAATGTGGTCATCCTCTTACTTAACCACTTGCAAGAGGAAGACCATTTTAATTCTGCTTTCATCATGTCCTGGAATACATGAAAGCACTTCATACAGTGTAACATGAAATTAAATTTGATGAAGACTCTTTTTTTACCATATACTCTTGTTAGAGGTCTCTAATGATCTCTAATTACCACCTAATAAAAACAGCTTTCTTAAAAAAATTGAGAGTAACTCAGGTGAATAATCAAAGTTAAACACGTAAGTAAGAATTAGCATGTGTAATTGGACTCGGTACAAGGCAGAATGGAGAAGCTTTTGCATCTGCTGTGGAAGTGTATGGTGACTGATGACCAACCGAAACTGCACAGAAAAACCCCAATGAAAACGTTGGGTTTGCTCTGTAAACTAAGATACTGCAGTAGTTGGAAACTTTCTTTGGAAGAAAATGGGTGTGATTTTTACTAGCAATACTGGATGTAAAAGGGCACATATTCAATCCTCCTGTGCAATTTTCGAAGTCTCAGTTTTGTGAAGATACTGTGTTAGTAAGGGAATTAGTTGTTTTTCGGATTTACTCTTGCCCTGACTCTCATTTAGCCATATCCCCGTTTATGTAAAGGAAGTTTCATGTTGCTATAAGAAGTACAGATACACCTTTTTTTAAAGGAGGATGGCCAAATTAGAGGATTAACTCAGTAATACTAGATCTCTTGTAAAGAGGTATTTTAAATACATGATTAAAGAACTTGTGATGAAATAATGGTCCCAGCCCTTAAAATTTAGTCCACAGGCCTAAACCCTTCACCTATACCAAGCATCATCAGTGTCATGGGCTGTATTACAGCCAGATCCTTACAGCTTCAGCTGCGAGAGAGGAGCTTTTGTGACACGGCCTCGTGTTCATTTGTCCTCTGTTGAGTAAGTGGTGTTGTATCCATGATCATGTAAGAAAGGTGATGTTTGTAGCATACCGGCTTCCAGCGTAGAGAAGGCTGTGTAAACATTTAGTTGTGCAAACTTAAAGAAGGGCTTTTTATTTGAAAGCTCCTTTGTTTTTCCATTTTGTGTGTCATTCTAATAAAGTGTATTGCCTCTCTCCCAAGTCTTGTTTCTCTTGCATTTATTTTTTTCCATAACTTGGATAACATCATACGCATTATTTTGCATGATTAAGTATATGTATGTCTATTAAATTGTGTGGTTTAATAAACAACAGTTTGAAATTATGCATTTTATTGATGTGGGACACATTCTACTTACGAATGTGTCTAAAAGCAGTTGTTTGGGCGTAGTGCCTTTTTTTCCTTCTGTTCCTTATCTGTCCTTCAAAATAATCAGTATGTTTTTAAGCTGAGGGGAAGGAGAAGGTCCGAAACATTTGTTTTGGCATTTGCTTCAAAGGTATGATTGTGGTTGGTTGGTTTGATTTCCTCAGTAACCAAAAAAACAAACCAAAAGTAATTTCTCCTTCATCATTTAATTAAATGCAAACAGTACATGTACTTTTTGTAGATCCTCTGAGGTCATGTCATAAATTTCCATCCTCGTCCTAAACCTGCCAGCCTGTGCACCAATAGAAATGGGATATTTAATCTGCTTCTCCACTTAACATGATGTACTGGATTTGGGTGAAGTCCAGATAAGAAATTGTGTCAACTTGAACAGGCTGGCCTGTAGAATATTGCAATTTGTTTATTCATTATTAAATTTTAATATACTAAATATTAGAGAAAGAGAAAACATTGTAATGTGGGTGTATTGAAATAATCCAATATTAAAAATACTAACATTTCTTTACATATTTTATGAATCCATGCCAGATTTCCCTATGGATTCTAATAACGGCAACTGTAGAGGCGCCGGCATTGGTAAGTACACTTTTATAAAACTGTATAATAAGCAGTAGTCTTTCAAATCATTTTAATATTTGACTAAGTAAGAGGGCTGCTAAGTGATGTTCACATACTCTGTCTTGCCTGGGAATCCTGTGTATTGTGCTTTCGTATCCCGTGGGCAGGTGGGGTTTGGGGCCAGTCAGCCTGTGTAGTGTACAACTCGGTGAACTCTTCAGCACGTCTTCTGGTGCTCGTCTCTTCTGCTTTTGTCAGGGCAAAATTTCCACTAGATCAGAAGGGCTGTGATGATTTAGAATCATAGAATCATAGAATGGTTTGGGTCGGAAGGGACCTTAAAGATCATCCAGTTCCACCCCCCCTGCCATGGGCAGGGACACCTTGCACTAGACCAGGTTGCTCCAAGCCTCATCCAGCCTGGCCTTGGACACTTCCAGGGAGGGGGCATCCACAGCTTCTCTGGGCAACCTGTGCCAGTGCCTCACCACCCTCTCTGTGAAGAATTTCTTCCTGATATCTAATCTAAACCTCCCCACTTTCAATTTGTCCCCATTACCCCTTGTCCTATCACTACAGGCTCTTGTCAAAAGTCCTCTCCCAGTACCCTTGTAGGCCCCTTCAGATACTGGAAAGCTGCAATGAGGTCTCCTCGGAGCCTCCTCTTCTCCAGGCTGAACAAGCCCAATTCTTGCAGCCTTTCATCATAGCAGAGGTGCTCCAGCCCTCTGAGCATCTTCATGGCCTCCTCTGGACTCGCTCCAAGTGGTCAATATCCTTCTGATATTGAAGGATATTGAACTTTCATCAGAAGTTCTCTCTTTATCCGTGATAATGATCACTACATGGATTTTCAGTGGACAAAACCGGTGAAGATAATGGTTCATTCTGACTTCAGAGATTGCAGTATGAATTCTGACCTCTTTGTAGATAACGGCAACACTCCTGTTAACCTGAGGCGATCGAGGCTGAGACCTTCTGAGACTGGTTTTATTCCCTTTCGCTTTCATTTTTGGTTTGGTTTGGTTGTGCTGGTACTGAGTAAAACCCCTTGAGTGTTACCACTAGTCATAGGCAATGCAGAGAAGCAAAGCCCAGACTGGTAGCAAATAGGTGTCAGAAATGTGAATTTGTTGCTCAAGCAAGCTGATGACTCTAAGTTTCCTTGAATTTTATTACCATTCCTTCAGAAGTTTTCCTCTTAGGCCGTTGTGAAAAAGATGACGCTTGGAAACCTAGTGTTGGCCATCGTGTCTTTCCTTCTCCAGAGTTGTTGGCCAGCACTGGTGCTTAGTTTACTAGATAAATACCTAAGTATGGTTGAGGAGCATAAAATTAGATGGCAAGTTTTGATTAACTTCAGCATTAATCTCTGTGACTGAATCGTAAAAAGAAATTGGTAGTGCCCATTTTAGAATGCAGATTTAAAATGTTATCAGTAGGTCCCAGTGTGAAAGTAGCTATGTAGGTGCAAAACGTTATTTAAACTGCAGTGCCCATCCTTCAGAAAGCCAGCTACAATTAGAAAAACCTGATAAAAGTAAGCCCCTTAACAAACTTCACTTTAAATTGCCTTTCACGCATCTGAAAGATCTTTTAAGTATTTTTATTGTTAATGTTAGTATATTTTTAGTTTTAAGCCATGTTCAGTTGCATGGCATTGAAAAAGTGTGGATTTCATGCTCTGTGGTGATTATGTGAGGGGCATAAAAGCTACACTTTGAGTATGAAAGTAAAGTGGGTGCCTTGAACATCACCTTATATCAAAAATACGAAACATACCTTTAGCACTGCCTGTCCTCAGGGATGCAGACTGCCTGTAATACCAGTAAGCAACCCTGCAGTGGAAGAGGGTAAAATTCAGTTATACTGTTGCTGTCGTGATGCATTTCAACTAGCAAAAGCAAAATGAGACCTAAAAAAAAAATCCCATCCAAAAAACGGGGTGAAGATGTGCAGCAAAAGAGCTGGTGAAAAGGAAGGGTGATGTTTTTATCATTGCTTTTGGCTGTAGAAACACAGTTTCTGGTTCCGTGTGCCACACTGGTTTCAACTGACAAACACGGTTTAAGCACCTAAAAGACTGTGTTTTGCAATGGCTTTATTTATATGTTCTGTAAAGTAAATTTGTAATCGATGTTTTTTAAAATACCCTGGATTCGGCCCTGGAGCATATCGCATGTCCTGCTGCGTGCAGTGAGTGGTACTTGTGGGTTAAGGTGTCCCTGCCCATGGCAGGGGGGTTGGAACTAGATGATCTTTAAGGTCCCTTCCAACCCTAACCATTCTATGATTCTATGATTTTATCCCTGGCAAAACCTTCCCTTGGAGTCTGCATGTTTGTTTTCTTTGAGGGGGGAGCTTTTTTATCTCTCTTGGCAGTAAACTGCATTGCTGTCTGCTTTATCTAATGCTTTTCAAGTCACTTAGAAATTTTTCCAGAGTTGTTTTTTTTTTTTTTTTAAATCAATTTATCAGGGAAGCATTTGCCAGGTTTGAGTGCTCGTACCGATCAGTATTACAGCCAGGTTTTTGGTTGTGTGTGTGCATCGAGGGTGGGGAGGCACTGGGACAGGTTGCCCAGAGAAGCTGTGGATGCCCCATCCCTGGAAGTGTCCAAGGCCACGCTGGATGAGGCTTGGAGCAACCTGGTCTAGTGGAGGGTGTCCCTGCCCATGCCAGGGGTGTTGGAACTGGGTGGGCTTTAAGGCCCTTTCCAACCCAAACCATTCCATGATTCTATGATTCTGTATATATTGAAGACGGTATGTTTTTTGGTAGCGATCCATGGGGAAAAAAAGAATATTTAAAGGCAAAACTAGCTGACATCTCAGTCAAAACCAGTGTGAGCCTCTGCTGCCTGTCTCAGTGCTTGGGTTATGACGTTGCTGTGGTCAGAGGAGACTGTCGTGTCAGATGGGACTTTTCCTCAGCATCAAGAGATGCAGTGCATTTTTATGGCCACCTTTTACGAGCCACCTCCCCTGGGGAGAGCTCAACATTGCCAGAAACATGCTTCAGTCCAGTATGTGTTCTGTAGGAGTGACGTTGTCCTTCGACAGTCACTGTAACAGGGACTGGGAGAGAGGAGTGAGTTCTAGCTCTGTGACTGACTTTATAACTGATCTTGGCAAGTGACTCTGTGTCAGCTTTTCTATCTCTGGCGAGTAGTTAGGAATAACAGTGTGTTTTGTGCAGTTCTTTGAAATGTGAATCTGAAAAGCACTTGGGCGACAGGGAGGTATCCTTCACTAAGCGCATGGTCACGTCCTTAATTTGTTTCTAGATCAAGACTAATAAACTCTATTCCTCAAATTATTAAAATAAGATAATCCCATACCATCTTAAAACTGAGGGAAATGGAAGGCTCTGTATTCTGGTCTTATAATTTAGACTATTTTATTCTACTTGTGCCGCAGAGCAAAGTACCGTAGAGCAGGAGAACATTCAAGTGTGTGACTTGTTGGGCTTGAACGCTGAGATGCCTGCGTGAGGGTGGGTCACAGGAGCACATCTTTCACGGCCTGTTAGGAGGCAGCTGATAAAATGGGCCGTGATTTGGCCTAAGGTATGCATGAGCTCCCACAGGCAGACGGGAAGCCAAAAATCACTTCCCCTCTCTGCCTTTATTATTTTAACACAGTCTCATACAAAAGCTGAAGTCTGTAGGACTCTGTATGTAGATTTCTGAGGATGTGTTTGAAATTCAAGGAAACAATATACTCTTCTCTTGAAATGTTCTCCTCTTTCCTGTATTTTTCTTGTATTTTCAACAAAAAAATTCTTTCAATAGAAAATAAATAATGATTTGAGAAGTCCCTAACCATATGATTCCATATCTTTTTTTCTTTTTTTAATATGCAGAAATCTTGACTAGCAAATAAAAGCTCTTTCTTCAGACTTCTCATGTTGGATTTAACTAAATCTCTAGCTTACATGCATTGGCATTTTAGAAGGACGGTGTATAGAAATAGGCTGCGTTAAGTCTGCTTCCGCTTCATCGCCAACTCCAGTGTCAAACAGATGACCGTGTGTAGATAATGCTGGGACCCCCACCAAACGCCACGTAGACACTGGCTTGAAACAAGTAAATGTTTGCATTGGAACAACCAGCCATGGAATATTGGTGGCGTTAATGAACGTATGGGTCTGGAGCTCCAGCGTTAGCACTCCCCGGGCACTAATGAAAACGCTTTTACCTCCGTTATTGTTCCCAGTATTGTTCCTAACCTGAGGTCCTGGATCATAATAAAACTGTAAAATTTAAAGAGAAATTGAGAGGGAGTCTGGGACAGGATGAAGGGTAACACCAACACCCGCAGGAGTCAAGTGAAGCCATTCAGCCTCTGAAACTCAATCTCTCTTAAACCCGCCAGGAGAGATGTGATTGAGGTTGCATTTTGTCAGGACCGTCCCAGCAGCCTTCAGAGCGGGGACCCACGTGCTGCTTGGTCCCATCACCCTCCGACATGCTTCATCTGTAGAAATCATAGACATCTTCAGGCATAGAGGGGCTGTACCACTCTAAGAAATTTTATGGAGCAGCTCCAAAGAGTAACTGTAGGTTGGGAATTAGCTACAGAAGTCATGCTCCACATTACACTTGCCTGTAATAAACAAGTCGATGCGTGCAGTTTTCGTTCGGCGTGAGCTCGGGCTTGCGGGGAGATTGTCGCTGAACACGTGCTCTTTTCCTTCTAAGCCAAACTTTCCGTTTTTACAGAGCGCTGCAAGTGCAAGCCTATAAAAGCTACCCAGAAGACGTATCTACGCAACAATTACAACTACGGTAAGAACAGCTGCATGGCCCGCTCCCAGCGTTTTTAAGGCTACAGGAAGGGGAAGATTTTCGTTAAAAAAGCCTATGGTCTCAATTACTGATGGTCAATCCAGTGGTACATACTCCAGCAGAAGGAAGATGCGGCCTGAAACGTTTCCAGATTAGAAGGACGGAGGGGATTAGCTTAATATGTTAGTAAAAGAGTGTCTGTTGATGTTGAGGGTTATTTCAGTGTCAGCGGGGTTCGTGCACTTGTTCAGTGTGGCAGTGGTGTGACAAAAAGGACGTCGTGGGCTGCTGTGCCTGAACTACCTCTTTGATTTCCAGCTCCCGTAGGCTGGGCTTTTGCAGGAAAGGATGTTTTTGCTAACTTCCCTGCCTGCAAACTCACCGTGGGACCTCACGGGCATACTGGGTTCTTCCCTTCTCGCGCGTTGAAGCCAGCAGCACGCATCTTGCCAGCTGTGTTAGTAACACCTGTAAATGCGCGCAGTGTCCGTATGACGTCGTCTTTTGTCCAGATTGTCCCGGTCTTCAGGCATATCACAGGCCCAGGCTGCTATTTTTGCTTCATACTGTTTGTTTTAAGCAAATGGGGCTGATGAAGGCAGTGAATACGTATCACAGGAATTTTAACAGTGGGGCCCATCCTTTTTCCCATTAATCATGGGAATAGCCTTAGGCTCTGAACTTAAAAACTTGATTTTGAATGGTAGCGATTGCGTCATATTTATTAAGATTATGCATTTAAACAACTATTGTCAGATAAGCTTCTTTTCAAAATAGATCCTATTAAAAGCTAAAAAATTAGAACTGTATTTAAACATTGTTATTTTTTAGGCGACCACTTGATTTTATGTTGTTTTGGTGGATTTGTTTGGAAAATGATTACAGAGTGGCTATTCTTTAGCGGGTGCCTGCGCACGGCTGAGAGTCGCAAGGCATGGTGTTACCCATCTTTTCCAGCTTTTGAAATTAAAGAGATTTCAAAAGGCATTTGAAATAACTCCAAACTAAAGGAAGGTTTTGTTTTGAAATCTGAAAAGGTTTTAAGAAAGTGGATCACTTAGGGTAAATGGTGCATATTAAATGCACAAATGATTAATTGTTGGCAGCTCTATTTAATGTAATAGCTGCAATACGTGCTGATTAATGGTCTTTATGGGCAATGCATGTGAAGAGGGATATGTAAGTCCATGTTTTTCTGTTTTCCTTATTACCTTTTTCACATAGGTTAGAAGAAACTGGGAATCCAGGGAGTCAGCTATTTGTAATGGAAAGGGACTCTTGTTTGCCAGCTGTGAAAGATGTGGCATTCTCTGGAGCATGACCTCTGGATTGGCTTCGCATTTGCATGTGGAATCAGTTCACTGGTCACCGTGAGAGAAATGCAAAGCATTGCCTCTGAAAGGCAACTTCTCGTCCTGTGCAACTTCAGGCAAAAAGAAAGGGCGAAGGAGGAAACAATTAGATGGGTCATCAGGTCAAGATCAGGAACGTTTGGAGTTCATAAAGAGCAGAGCAGATTGGTGCAGGGTCACTGGAGAGAGAATAAAAAAGGGCCTGTCATGCAGCAGAAGTAGCGGTACGAGAAGTTTTAATGCACATTCACGTTTTGTGAAAGGTTGAGAGGGACAAATTAAGTTTGGTCATCTGTACTGCAAGTAGTCAAAGAGGGAGCAGTTAGAGCTCGAGGGAGGAGGAGAGCATACAAGGGTTGAATTAAATAAAGTGGAAAGGGTGAAGAAGAAGAGATGCTGACGTCCAGCATAAACATCCATCCGTCCAACTGGTACGTAACTCCTGCTTGTGACCACACTGCTGTGAGATAGACTGAGTGACCTGGACTCTCACGGTGGAGGATGGAGTAATGAAGGGAAGATACGGGGACAGGGACATTGGTGGAGTTCAGCTAAGCTTGTGATAACGGACCATGCAAAAGACTAATCCCAGGGGTCACCAAGAATGGCTTGGGGGTGACCTGCATTATCTGCTGCCGCTAACTGTGCTCTTTGTGACTTTTTCCCAGTCATTCGGGCTAAAGTGAAGGAGGTGAAGACTAAATGCCACGATGTCACTGCAGTAGTGGAAGTAAAGGAGATCCTAAAATCTTCCCTGGTGAACATCCCAAAGGACACTGTAAACCTTCATACGAACTCCGGCTGCCTGTGCCCACCGCTTAGCACCAATGAAGAGTACATCATTATGGGCTACGAAGATGAGGAGCGCTCCAGGTAACTCTTTCTGCATTGTCCTTGGAGCCTGTTTGTTGTTGGGTGTTCCCCTGCCCTAAAGCTGAACTTCCGAGCCACCAGGAAGGGAGAACTTGGTGTGACTCTCTGTACATCTCCTTAATGGTGTTCGGGGGGGACAAGGCGCTCTGCAGGCACAGAGATGTTAGTCGTGCATGTGTTGGGTGGTATAGCTTGTGCATGCCTGTTGATGGAGCAACTGGTTGTCTCCGCTGTGTAGGTTACTCTTGGTGGAAGGCTCCATAGCTGAGAAATGGAAGGATCGTCTCGGTAAAAAAGTAAAGGTAAGAAAATATATCAGTAAAAGTCAAATATTGTAGAGATTGTGAAACATCTCCCTAATCTTTTCAAAATAAGGGAAGAAAATATACTTGCTGATGCCGGTTATTTAATATCAAGTATCAAAAATTAACTTGTGTTATTTGCTGTATTACTTAGAAATGCAGGGTGAATAAACTAAAGGGGTACATTGAATTACCCCAAAGTACACCAGTGTAGCAGCAATCAACACCTCCATCTCAAAAATGCAAACAGTAGGAGTGTTTTAGCTCCGTAGGCAAACTGTGCAATCTGCAACACGCACCTACTTAACTGGGATTGTGCTGCTCGTTAAAAAAAACAACAGAGGGCTTTACAAATGTTTCCCAGACTAAGAATAATACTTTTCAGCTTTAATGTTCTTTAAATACAGTTCTCTCGCCAAATTGTGTGGATTAGCAACTATTTTAAATTTGCCTTCCTGGCTGAGAGGAGGGAGGTACGTGATAAGACAGTCACATCATAGTGAATTGGAAGCAGTGAGCTCAAATGCAAGCAGTATATGAAAATATATTCTGATATTTTCCAATTTCAATGTATCCTAATGCCTTCCAAGTTCAGGAAGGATTGCCTTTTTGTGTTCCGATGCACCGCAGAGTATTGGCGATTTCAACGTTGTTAGGAGTGTCGTTTTACACAGAATGTTCTGATTTTGACACAATTTCTCAGCCGTGGATTTGACATAATGGTTGTTTGTGTCTATGCAAACCAGTCTCCTCTTCCACCCAGCGCTTTCTTCAGCAGCGTTAATGGTGACTGGCAGGTAAACACTGTTCTGATGGCAGATTTACAGGTTAGCTGTGCACATTTGTCACATTTACAGTGATTACGTGAGTGAAAAGATACGGGCATCTTCATCCAAGTTGTTGTTTGATTTGGCAGAACCTTACGAAAGCCAGTGCCGCAGAGCAAATACCACATTACCGCCGCGGGCTGACTTCTGCTTGGTTCCAGTTCTCGAGTGGCAGTGTCATTGGTCAAGGGTTGTTGCTTATTTCCCGTGGCCTGTGACCGGGGGCTGCCGAGGGACGTGCCACACGGCCACCGGCTTCTCATCGTAAGCTCTTTTTCCAGAAGCATCGTCAGGTGTACCAATTCTATTTATTACATTTTTTGGTACTGTGGTTGCTATTACCTGGAAAAGTAAGCAAACAAACAAACAAAATACATTTTTTTAAGTATCATCGAGGGAGATGATACTTTAAATCAAGGGATTTAAAAAACACTTGACTCATTTTTCATCCTGCTTCACCCCCCAGACTGCACAAACGGCTTCATTTAGATTTTATAAGGTTGGACGCTTTTGTGCTGGAGCCGTTACGCCTTGTATCAGCCCCTTCATTCACAGAGGCTACAAGAAAGCCAGGAAGTGGTTTCTCTATTTAAAGTGACTTTTCCCGATAACCTCACATTCCACCCTTTGAGCCCAATACAGGGAAACTGGGTGGAAACAGTGACGGGCTTTTCTTCTTTTTTTTTTTTTTTTGCTGCTGTTTGTAAACGTGTACAGCTGTTTTACGTAAGACTTACTTCTTCTGTACTCTCTCCTGTAATTTCTCTTTCCATACGCAGCGCTGGGATCAGAAACTCCGCCACCTTGGGAAGGGGAAGGGAGAGCCCGGACACGGCGACTCGGCTCCGAAGCCCAGCAAACCCAGCAGCGCCCGACAAGCACGTAGTTAGATGTGGGGTGCCGTACGTTGGCATGCAGTGGACTATCTACCAAGACTTCACTGTTGGAGCAGCAAAGGAGAAATTGCACTATTGCACGTTATATTCTATTGTTTACTACAAAATAATGTTTTAGCTTATATTAGTTTTTATTCTCCCTCTCATTTCCTGCCTTTTTTATTTTTTGGATGTGTGTAAATTCTGGAAATTTTCTTCTTTTTTTTCCCCCTGTTACTAAGAACTGTAGAAAACTGCCCTTATGAG